TAATTATATTTTCCTTTTGCTCCTTAATTGTTTGTTGGTCTTTTAATTAAACTTTTAAACCACGAATAACCATTAGGTACCGTGGAAATGATCAATCTTCGTGTGTGAAATTAGTTGAATGTGGGTGGAAAGACAACCGCTTAAAGAGCAGCACTAGATTGGTATTTAACCTCGAAATCCAGCGTATCTTTGTCGTTCTTAATGGCTACCAGTAAATAGTTTTCCCTCTAAAGAGTATACAACTAATATATTTTTAGTTATTAATTTGCTTGGTACTTCTCCAGTGCTGTTCATTTTTTTTGCTTTGTTTTTGGCCAGTGTTCATTAGTGTGTTCGTGGTATCTCCTGCGAGTCTACCCCTCCCTTCCCCCTCCCCCTCCCCTACATTCCCGCTAGTGGTGGTGGAGGGGGGGAGGTAGACCCTACACCCTCTACCTCGCCCTCCACCACCACTACACCCTCTACCTCGCCCTCCACCACCACTACACCCTCTACCTCGCCCTCCACCACCACTACACCCCTCTACCTCGCCCTCCACCACCACTACACCCTCTACCTCGCCCTCACCACCACTACACCCTCTACCTCGCCCTCCACCACCACTACACCCTCTACCTCGCCCTCCACCACCACCCCTCTACCTCGCCCTCACCACCACCTACACCACCACTCTACCTCGCCCTCCCACCACCACCACCCTCTACCTCGCCCTCCACTACCCCCTCTACCTCGCCCTCCACCACCACTACACCCCTCTACCTCGCCCTCCACCGCCCTCACCCCTCTACCTCGCCCTCCCACCACCACTACACCCTCTACCTCGCCCTCCACCACCCACTACACCCCTCTACCTCGCCCTCCACCACCACTACACCCTCTACCTCGCCCTCCACCACCACTACACCCCTCTACCTCGCCCTCCACCACCACCTACACCCTACACCCTCTACCTCGCCCTCCACCACCACTACACCCTCTACCTCGCCCTCCACCACTACACCTCTACCTCGCCCTCCCACCACCACTACCCCTCTACCTCGCCCTCCCACCCACCACTACACCCTCTACCTCGCCCTCCCCACCACCACTACACCCTCTCTACCTCGCCCTCCCCACCACTACACCCCTCTACCTCGCCTCCACCACCACTACACCCTCTACCTCACCCTCCACCACCACACCCTCCCCTCGCCCTCCACCACCACACCCTCTACCTCGCCCTCCCACCACCACTACAACCACTACACATTTAGGTCAAATTCCATCACTTCTCATGTAGCAATTTATTCACGTCTGTATTATTTTGAGGTCTGGTCTACCCACCCCCCTCTTCCTCCCCCCCTCTTCCTCCCCCTTCCTCCCTTGTCTCCCTCTCTTATCCCTCCATCCTCCCCACTTGTTGAATCATACCAGTATTTCCTCCTTCTCTCCCCTATTCACCTTTTGCTCCTCATCTCTGCCTTCTCTTCCTATCTCCCTCAGGCTTCATCTCTTCATTTTCTATCTCTTCCACTCTTTATCTCTTCCATATTTTAGGTCTTCCACACACTATATCTCCTCCTCCTCCATCCGTGACCACTCCAGGAGCGGACCAGAGCGGAAATCCCGGGGGAGTGACCTGATATTAACAACATCAACACAGGTGTCACGTAGCTCTGCCCCCCTTTCCCTCCCTCCACCTCCATTCCCCATCTCTACCTCCCCACCCCCATTCCCCTCCCTTCACCCTATCCCTCCCAACCCAGTGTGCGTTAGCGACCAGCTGCCCGTGTAGGAATGTTCTAAAGTTAAAACTCTCACACGCTCAAAAAATACTCCAGTGGTGTTTCTTAACAGTAGTGTTTCTCACCTACTGCCCCAAGCTTATTTCATTAACGCTACCTGGTGGGGGGTTAGGGTAGGTTAGGTTGAGTTAGGTTAAGTTATCGTTAGACTACAGAGATAGGTTAAAGCATCTTAACTTGCACTCCCTCGAGAGACGTAAAGTGAGGGGCGATAAGATAGAGGTGTATAAATGGAAGTCAGGGCTAAACAAAGGGGACATACAAAGGTACTCAAACTATCCAACCAGGAGCGAACTCGTAACAATGGTTTTAAATTAGACAAATTTAGATTTAGGCTAGAGACAGGTAAATATTGGTTTGGAAATAGAGTAGTGGATGAGTGGAACAAGTTACCAAACATCATCATTAACTCGAATACGCTGGATAGCTTCAAACATAGGTTGGATGGATATATGAGTGATAGGGGTTGGGTGTAAACGGGACTGCCCAGTATGGACCAATTGGCCCGCTGCAGTTTCCTCCATTCTTATGTTCTTATGTTAACATTAGGTTAAGGTGGTTTGTAATAAGTTAGTTGCCGGGGGAATCTTCAGGTGATCCATTGCTATCGTTTTGTTGTGGGGTTTTGAAGCGAAGTATTGTTGAGTAAGTTGTTTCAGTATTTATTTTTTCCAACACACTTCATGAGAGTTTTTGAGTCTACGACACTCGGGCAGCCCCAAGCACGGGCGTTTGGTCTCACACACGTACGCGGGTGGAAAGAACGCCCTCTTGAATGAACATACGACTCTCTCTCGCTGTCCACAAGTGACACTTCTGGCGAGTGACATATAGTCCCTCAAGTCTTCTTATTACTGTCGTGTTTCACCGTCGTGTTTATTCAAATGGTCTTTTATATATACAGTATATATATATATATATATATATATATATATATATATATATATATATATATATATATATATATATATATATATATATATACACACACACACACAAAGAGTCAGTGTGGCTGGCTGTGCACTCGACAGCCGTGGGACCAGACAATACTCCGAGATATGAGCCCGAGACCAGGTTTTAGAGTAATCGTTATTGTTCATCCTAACTGAGAATGAGAACATTTGGAAGTGGTGTGATCTCAACGCAGCATTTCATTGTTATTTTTGCCAATGTTTTTTGTAGCCTGTGAGTCAGAGGTGTTATAACAACTTAGTGGTAGTAGGTGACGCACTGTAGCCTGGGGTGAGGAGAACTAGACTCAGCGGTCACCTATCTACACCACCTGTCACCTGGTCAGCTGACGGTGGATGAAGGGTGTTAAGTGACTGAGGTGTGAACCTGAGCCCTAAAACGGTCTATTTACACCACCTGTCACCTCAACAGCTGATGATGATCATAGGTGACCGCAGTGACGTCACAAGGTAGCGCCAGCGAGGTGTTTGGCCATAAATAGTGTGGATCATTATGACAATAATTACTACTAGTGTTACACCGCCACCACCATACTGTGTGTGTGTGTGTGTTATGGTACACGTACACATACCTGTGGTGGGGCTGAAGACGACCACTTGCCCAGCTCATATTCTCGTAATGCTTGAAAGTCATTGTCGTTCTCGTTCTTGTGACTCCAAATTCGCTCACAATCTTCTCCCTCATATTCTCACAACGACTCATATTGTTCGTGAGCCTCTGTCGTGTTGACACAGTCTCATCATGATGAAATTAGTCCTTTCAGCGAGAGACGTTATTCAGAAGAGATTCACACAAGAGACAAACAGACAGACACATACCATCCTGTCATAAAGTGTACAGATGATCGCTTTATATACCCCTCATACATCTGATACTGTAGAGGCGTTGAGGAATTACTCTATAAATGTGCGCGGTACACTATTGAATTAAGAAGATATGTGGTACAGAATTGGGTTTTAAGGTGAATGGTACAGTTGCGGAAATGTGTTCCTATCCCCCCTGTGGTAACCCGTGTCTCCAAACGGCCAACCTATATGACCTATAGCAAGCCTTTCCACCAATCACGTCCGTCGTTACACGACCAATACCCATTCATTCATAAACAGTGATACTACTGCTGCGACGGTGACGTTTGGAGACACTGGTTACCACAGGGGGTGTAGGAACACATCTCCGCAACTAAAAGAGGATTGGATTATACAGGTGCGTAGTACACGATTGGCTTCCAGTGATGTCAATGATAGGATTATGGAGATGTACGGTACAGGAAGATTGGATTATACAGGAGTACGATACAATATTGGGCTATAAAGGTGTACAGGTATGAATTATGGATGTGTAATTCACACACACCTAACATCGTGCTATCTCTTGCTTCTCCATTCGCTTCCTTCCATTTACCCTCCCGCCTGGCCCCAGTGACTTGTAGGGCCCGTAACCGCTATGGCCGGTGTCAGTCTGGGAATTACAATTGCGACCTGACCATACCAGGTGACGCCTCGGCGCATGTTTAACTGAGAGTGTGACAGATGTCAGCTGGAAACTCCTGATTTACGAATGTGGGAAAAGGGGGGGGGGGAGGGGGTAGTTTCGAGTTTTGTGGCTGAACTGTTCATACTGTATATGGCATATCTCGGGATAATACCGTATGAATAAATAATTAGATTTTTTGGGGGGAGCATTTCCTTAGTCTACCTTCCCTGAACTGAGTGATTATTTTTCATGCTTGAGGACTTATTTTTTCAAGTGTATTCTAGCCAGCCACTTCATGTTCACTCGTTAGTTAACTCGTTAAGCAATAATCTATTAATTAAAATGCTGTAATATCTCCATTAGCTGGAATCCCTCTTAGCCAGAACTCTCCAATTTCCGGAGTTGAAATATGCTCAGAATTTTCCAGAAAATTCCGGGCTTGGGAATGAATTTTCCGAGGGGGGGCATTTTCTGGAAAATTTCCGGGGATGCAGGATTTTTTCCAGATTTGAGAGGTTAAATGATTCGTCATTCTGGAGAATTTCTGTACCCCTCAAAATTTGGGGGATGGGGGATTTTTCTGGTGAAAGAACCTCATTACTCACCAATTTTTTCTGGTAATGGAGATATCATTGTACCGTTTTATTTGTCCTATTTTTGCATTATTACATTTCTCACTTTCAATGTGCACCAAATGCCCTTTATTCGGTATTTTCAGCTATTTTTCATTCCTGAGTATTGGAGTTCTCACACGTCTCCTATTGTCCACAGTACCTGAGCAAGCAGACGGCTGCCCTGAGGGAGGTGAATGACTCGAGGCTTCGCATCTATGAGCAGCTGGAGATCTCCATACAGGAACTGGAGAAGAACAACCAGAGGCTCTCTGCTGAAGGCGCCTCAGATAAACGCAAAATAAAGAGGTGAATAAAGCAACTAGATAATGAGATTAAACTCCAGTTTCTTTACTATTGTTTGGCATCTGTGCTGCTTACGAAAATTAAGAATGATAAGTACTTAATTGCTAAATGTAAATGTTTGTTGTTTTGTGTTCTATAAAGTGAGAATATCAGAGTATACAAAGTATTAATGTGTTTAGTCCGTCAGTAGCAACAAACTTTTATCTAGCCTGGAACAAAACACTAGTGTCAGTCCATAAGCTTTGATGAAACTACAATCATCTGGATTATCACAATTTCACAAATGAACTACACCCCACCATGATAGTTGAAGGCCATAGATCATATTTGGCAACAGGTGTATAGTATTGGGGTAAATTTTCACAGGTGGACTCTCAGAGAGTTTAAGGTATGTACAGTATGTACCGTAGTTAGTATGACTGTATCCCATGTTGAATTTATAAGGACACTTTTTATTCCATGTTTTCTCTGAAGTTCATGCTGGCAGTTATATTTTTATGGAGTACAGTATATGTTTAAGAAGATATGTAGATAAGTACCGTAGGTACTGTACAGTAAATAAGTATTTATTCGGTAAAATTTCCATACAAGTTTTAACTGAATCGGCAAGTATGTAGAGAATGCAGGTATTCAGTGTACAGCTGCAGAAATATGTTCCTACGCCCCTGTGGTAACTCGAGTCTCAAAATGGCCAACATATATGACCTATAGCAAACTATCCACCAATCACATCTGTCATGAACACTACCAATACCCATTCATTCATAAATAATGATACTACTGCTGCGACACATGCCATTTGGAGACACGAGTTACCACAGGGGATGTAGGAACACATTTCTGCAACTGTACCATAAACAGTGGAGCTATGCAGGTGTAAAAATGATGCACAATACATACATTTATAATAGCCCAAGCTAATTTCCCGCAATCTTCACAGTTTGTGCGGTAACTTAGAGTCTCTGGAGGGCCGCTGTGATGAGTTGCAGAAGAACCTGGAGGAGGCACGTGCAGGGGCACAGCAGCAGCGGGGCAGGAACAAGCGACGCTCCATCATCCTTGAGGAACAAAGTATCCGTCGTTCCCACTCGTGCGAGAATACCATACCGGTGAGGAGACATAAAGACCTGATGTGTACTAAACTAGAGGACTTATTATACATGTTTAGATTATCATATTTCATGTAAAGGAAATTATTATTAGGATCATATGCCTTTGTAAGTAAAGTGCACTATATTTAATAGTAATTCTGACACAGTAAGTGGTTTACAGAGTATGATATTAAAATACTGTAGTACATTACTGTACAGTACTTTTGTTTTTATATAGAAACTGGTTGAAAGCCAGATGCAAATGACAGGTACAGTACACACCATAATACTGTACAGTACAGTATAAGTACAGGTGCTCCTCTACTTAAGAACGTTCAACTTACAAACTTTCAGAGATACAAACATCATCACTGAGGGGGGCTACCTGCCAGAACAGGTGTTTAATGTGGATGAGACTGGATTATTTTGAAGAAAATTCCAGATAGAACAAACATTACCTAAGAGGAGAAGAATGAGCTAGGTCTTAAGGCTGTATTAAAGGGTATAGCTGTACTAAATATCCATAATCTTTTCATTTTTTACAATATATGTTTAGTATCTACAAGAGTAAAGTTGGACTTACAAACAATTAGACTTACAAACAAGCCTCAGGAACATAACGCGTTCGTAAGTAGAGGAGCTCCTGTACAGTACTGTTGTAAGGTAAAATGTGTGATGGTTCACCACCTACTGGCTGACAGGATGCTCTTTCGCCTTTATTTAAGTATATTTTTTTAATTATGGATCAGTGCTCATTGATACAGTGCCATATAAACAATTATGCCCTCATCTCGTATACACTTTTAAGTTACTACAACATACCCCAGAATTTACTCACCAACACCTCGTGGCATCTCATCAGAATGTGTATAGAGAAAAATTTACTTGTGGATTCAGGAAAATTTGTTCTTGTTTTGTACTTTGCAATATGTTGTTAGGAAAGTGGACTGTTACGAGTTCAGTACAGTAGTGTGTATTTTTGTAAGGTACAGTAGTTTAATTACTAGATCACATAATTTGGTTGCATCCCTGTAGAAATATTATTACCTGCCACTAGGGATAAATTATATTCCCGTGATAAGACTCTCTTCTTTGGGACGTCTTTCTTCCCATAAATGAAGCAGAGTGAAGAGGAACAGGAATAAATTTGTATTGTTTATTATCACTACTGGTACTTCTCTTCCATTTTTTCTCTTCCATTTTTGTGTTGGATGGATCAGAGGCTAAAGAAACATCAAGAAAGTGGGAGGTAGTTGGGGAGAAATGTGTAAGACAAGTGTAGAAACAACAAGTACATATACAGAATCCCACATACACTTCCACACATCCTTAACATGCATGTATAATATAGGTACAGTATGTATAACAAATCCTTAACATCTTAATTTATCTACAACAATTTCATAATATACAAGTAATTAATTTTATTTATAAACATGTTCATTGTTTGTGCTATAATAACTACTGCAAAGGTATTATGATATTAAACTGCAATATAATAACACACAACACGACAGTTTAGTTAACACAATAAAGAAAGTTATTTCGTCCATGGGTAAGGATAGTGCCAAGTGTTTACCAAATGGAGTACAGTATGTTGGTGATGCATACCATAACTATCAACCAATGGCATGATATATAAAATATATCCCCTTACTGTGTACCCTCTCATGGTTACTGAGGTGCTGTTATATGAGTCTCATGATGTAACGACAGGGCTGCATGTGTTGAAAATGCTGCATACTGGGTATTTATTATGTCGTCGGTTTTGGTCACTACTCTCTTCATCTGTTGTATGTCTGAAAATGTTTTATGAATCATTTTATAAGTATGTGTTGCATTTTGCCTTCTAGTGTTCAATATACAGACGATGCCCCAGGTCTTCTAGTAATTAAATTGAAATCATAATTTTTTAACTTTAATAGAAAAATAAATCTTTGGCCACATTATGGAAGGGGAACGCCATACCAACCAGCACATGTTACCACTGATCGAGACAAAAGGGGGAAGCTGGAGTACCTGGAGAAAACCTAGTGTTTGGTAGAGTAACACGGGACAAAAGCCTATATTTTTGTTTCTCAAGGTCAGTAGACTCTTGGTGGGAATATATATACAGTACCATACTGTTTTTGTGAACTTTGTAGTGTTTTAAAGGATCACATGAATAACACCCTTCTCACATCTGACCCGGGGATTGAAACATTGGTTCATTGGGGAGAGACGAGTGCATTACCATTGTTCCACCAATATATCTCCGTGCAGGATCAAGAAAGAAAAACAGCAGCATGAGAGAATTACTTACATTACCGGTAACTAAATCTCTGCATTAATTTGGATCCCACTCAGGAGAAGAAATTTGCCTTGTGCTCACTATATAATCTTTGCAGTACAGTCAATCAATTTTATTTGTTCCTGTATCCAAAAACATTTAAGATTAGTTCTTAACCATCACTATATCTTAACTGCCAAACTGCTGATGTGTAGTGACTTCAGTAAAGTGGCTGCCACCTGTGAGTACCAAACAGAAAGAAAATGTGAATTTATGGAGAAAGAGGCTTGCTTTGAGCTATATAGAGCCAGGAAGATAGATGTAAAGGAACGTGAAACTAAAAAGATAGAAATAAATTGAGACAGTAAAAGACAAAGAGCTATATAGCCATCTCTGAAGCATTAGTGTGGAGTTTGAGACAAAATCAGACTACCAAGTGGTACTGGATTGCTGAAGCTGTGAAAGAACGACACCTGAAATAAGAGAAAAGTACTGTATATTCCTTTACTTTTGTCATGGTAACATTTCCATATATGACTGAGGCCAATAAACCTGCCGTTTATGCAAATCTTTAAAACTTCATAATTTGACAATGAAGAGCACTATTCATAAAAGAAATCTTGTAACAGACCATCAAAGACCTGGGGTGTTTTAAGACACGAAAGCGCTTGGGAACTTCGTGTTTTCTTCTTTCCTTGTGGTTATCAGCATATATATATGTATGTATGTATGTATGTATGTATGTATAAGGCAATATTCCCAGATAGGAGGAGAAATATTGGCAGATACATATCAATCTTCAAAACACAATTGATATTACATTACATATGCATTAATAACCACCCAATTATTGATAGAAATTTTTTCCATGTTTTACATCTTCAGTGTAGTGTAAAGTGAAAGCTTCTGTCAGTTTGTAAACCTTTTAATGTTAATGTGAAGACCTTCCCCTTATCTCTGGTATCTGCGGTAAGGAGGAGGATCAGGATTTTGAAAGTCAGGTAAAAGTTTTTGTCCCTAGTTTGCATCCACTTCCCTCTTGCCCTTGGCTTTCCCGGCTCACCCCCTCTTCAGACAGTAGATGCAAGATTAAGTCAATTTAAAACTCCCTTTTTTAGTTTATTTGCTTTCTGAATATTTTAATTGTGATTGTGTTGTGGTAATTTATTTTACAGCAATAAAGGAGAAATGGCTTTTAATTTTTTTTCTAATTTCATTTAGTTAGTTTTTAATTGTTTGAGTTTTATTACTGTATATATGATTTTTTTTTATGGAAGGAAATATTTTTTGTGTATGAAATCTTTGCCATATCTGATATATTAGCATTACTTGCACAGTGTGTATGTATAATTCTCATGTGATTTAGTTATAGTTCCTTTAATCATTATTTTTTTTTACCAATGTTACATGAAATTCTTACGCTGAATAGCATGATTTTTATCCAGAGCCAACTGAAGTGCAGTATTACCCAAAACATGATACTGTGATAGGATGTTTTCTTTAAGACATTCAAATATATGTACATTATGTATTTTTTTTTCTTCGGTAATGAAATGTGATCAAAATTTCTGCAGTACTGTCTGTTTTAATAGAATATAAGGATACATTTTGTTAATAATAAGAAAACGATTACTGTTTTTACTTTTTTTTATTTTGGTTTTAAAGGGATTAAAATATATATTTTTAAATGAATAAAGTACAGGTAATTTAAAATTTTGTGATAGTTTTAGTACAGTGCAGATAGTACCTGTATTCTGTTCCTTTGTTTATTGGATTTATGATTGTTTTTTTTTTTTAGTTGCATTACCTATTTGAATTTGGTGGAGTGGGAATTAATGATGTGATACTTTTATTTTATTTAGAACTCGGAAGAACGAGCGACTGAGGAACAAGAAACCCGAACAAGGATAGAAGAGCTGCAGGAGAGGCTAAAAGCATCCCAGCATGAACTAGATGGAGAAGTGCGAAAGAGAGAGGAGTTGGAGATTCAACTTGCCTGTACATCTCAAGTAAGTTGGAGTTTATTTTTTCTTTAAATAAAATATTATTCGTTTGTCACCCCATCTGGTCCCCGAGATATGCTAGGGACTGTCAGTTGGTTGAAAATGTTAAAAGGAGGGCCACCAGACTGGTGCCTGCACTTCGTCACCTCAGTTACCCTGAGAGATTGGAGCGCCTGAACTTGCCTAGCTTATACTACAGACGGGCAAGGGGGGACCTAGTTGAGGTGTATAAGCATCTCAGAGGGCAGTACTCAGTTGAGTGTCCTTACTTGGAGCTGGCGGACGCTCGCCCCACAAGGGGTCACAGCTCAAGATTGAAGAAGCCGCAAGTCCAGAAAACTGTGAGGGCAAACTTTTTCAGAGTGAGGGTTGTAAACTCTTGGAACAATCTACCAGAGTGAGTTGTGACGGCACCGAGTGTGAGCTCTTTCAAGACAAGACTTGACCAACACTGGAGCGGGTTCAGGTACATTTAGGAGCCGGTGCATGCCCAGTACTTGCCAACAGTGCGTGGCAGACGTGACCGATTGCCCGGGCGGCTAGCGAGCCGATCTTTTGGTGAAAAAGATAAATGAAAAGGAAAAGTAATCAGAGACGTGACCGATCGCTCAAGCTGCTACAAGCCGATCAGTGGCGAAGAGGATAAAAGTACAAGTATATATACTGTACAGTACAGTATATTCAATACATTTTTATCAAGGTAGATAGGACCCTAACATTGAAAGATAAGTACAGTACAGTACAGTACTGTACAGTACTTATACTGTATACTGTACTGTACAATGTTCTTTTTGCCATTGTTGACTTAAATTTTTAATCATATACAGTACACTGCATCCTGAGTTAGGGTCAAGAATGCATTTTGTCACCCTTATTATTTGCTATTTCTGAATGTATTGTATTTGCCCTAGATTGATAGATAATTATGTATACTGTACAGTACATTATACTTATTCAGTACAAGTTTACAATAAGTTTTGTATGTACAGTATATAGACTGCAGGTACAGTACAGTATACATTTCCCAATTTATCAAGCCAGTGCAGGACAGGTATACAAACAGCGGTAAACAGTAAGGCAGTTCGACAAAGCCGTCAGATTCTTATTTCCAGTAGGGTTCTATAGTGTATTGTAATTTTTTCTTTATCCGTCTGTCCTAACATTTTGGTTTCCACCTGATTCATTTGTTTTGCTCCACCATCATCATTAACCTCTATTGGGGAGTTACTCAGAGGTCTGCAGGGCCTGTACTGTTCATTACTGTACTTACATTGGGTCAAGAATCAAAGTCATTTAACCCAGAGAAAAAAATATCTTTAGGTACCGGTAATACAGACATCTACAGTATTGCATATTAAATCAAGTGGTTACCTTAGTAAATGAAAGCAAGTTTCTTCATCTCATTTGGTATACAGTATAGTATTATATGGTATTTTTTGTTTTATCGTGTATACCAGTTACCTACCCTTCTGGGTGTCCTGTATTGCACAACAACTGTATTTCAGATGATTTATTCACTGTTCCCTTTTATAATTTTATGAAGTTAACTTACAGAGATCCTTTACTGTTGTTCAGTCAATTCTTCTTCTAGGTTTAATCCCATATAAAACTTATTACAGTGCACTAAAATTTTATTTGGTTTTTAATCCTTTGTAGGAGAATAATGTACTTCAAGAACAGCTGGCAGTGTTGCGTGAGAAGGAAGTTACAGTGCGAACCTTTGATGAAGAGTTGGCCTCTCTTGATGATGCCTCTTCTGGAAGACTCTGCCGCAAGGTGAGTTTTGGGATACAAATTATATTTCTGTCATCTAGAGGAATAACTTAGTAACTTTTAGCCTTATTTTTCCAAAGGCAAAACAATAAAAAGTCTTTTTGAGACTTCTTCATTTCTTTCCATCAGACAGTAGGTTTTGGAAGAACTATTTTTTTAATTGCATTTTAAATATTCACTTCTCATGAATCCATAATCTGATTTCAAGTACAGTACCTGTACCTGTACTGTATTTTGGAATCCATTGTCTAATTGAGCAGCAATTGATGAGCTCCTTGTTTCCAGTGTCTTGGTCAAGTTGATGAGCTGGCAAGCAACCCAACCCTGTATGACCTCCACGACAGCATCGAGGATACTGATGCTTCCATTGAAAGTATCCATGGAGAGTGTGCTCTCATCAGATTGAAGAATGGAGGTTATGCTTGGGGCAGTCAGGTGAGTTTGACGAGGGGATAATGGAGGAGTACAGGATGAGACAAAGATGTTGGCACTAAGGCACTTGATGTAAAAACCTGTGCATAGTAAAGTTAGTGACGTCCAAGTTATAATTGTAGTTATGGAGTTGTAGTAACTGACTGGGACTGCTATAGATAAGCGTGATCAAAGAGCTCCAACTGATGCCAGTATGACCATCTGATTGTGAATCTGATTTAGCTGTAACTAGTTTTAAATTATTTTGACCTAACTGCAACCCAGTGATGCAGTTTTGGTGACATTATTCTATTTGTTTATGTGAAGTTTTGGTGAAATACATAGCATTATTGTGAAAATATATGGAGAGTGACCCAGTCACATGTACCCTTCTATTCAGCATCACTATTAACATCGGACAGACTCATTTGAATACTGTATTATTGACTGCTAGAACATCAAGGTACTCATTCTAATATTTGAAAAATGTAAGGGAAGGATATGTTGTTATTGAATATGGTAATATATGTAATCCTGGTTGTGATGTTATCTTATAAAGAAACTATAGTGTAATGTTTTTTCTTAAGTTTCAATGAAACAAAATAAGTTTTGTTTCTTCAAGTTTCATAATTTAATTGATGTTGATCAGATTAGGTGGCTGTGGATGCCGATGGAAACTTTTTCTACCACTAACTACTGCAGCATCTGGTTTAGCATACAGTTTCAGACATATGACTGTGGTTAAAAAAAGTGCAATTTTCCATTTCTCTTCTATTTATTGTACTGTACTCTGTGCTTTTTTTCTTGCTTCATGTCTCCCTTTTTACCTTTCTTGTGCATATATCTTTTGAGGTAACACTCATTCTGTCTATTTGTTCACTTGTCTTAGTATAAACAAGTAACAACTGCTTCTCGTGTAATGGTCAGAGTAATAATTATGTAGTCTAGGTATTTTCCAGCAAGTGCTTTGAGCTTTATTCATTGATCATGGCCATTTAAAATGTGGAGATGGTGAATTGCCAGAACATTTTAGCACGTTTCCCCCCAGGCTCTACGGACTTCAGATGTGACAAGGTAGTGAAATGACCTACTTATCAACGAGTAGTCACTTGAGAACATTCTGTGGTAGATTTATAAGTTTCATCATCAGAAGCTGAACCAGTTTGTCTGCAATTTAACATGGTCATTTTTCTGAAAGACTTTAACATTAATCTTTTTGATGCTTAGCCAAGTTCAAGCAGAGGTATTAGTTAACTTTATTATTTTATAGCAGATACACAAGTACAGTGTTGGTTCAGGTGCCTCAGCTTACAGGCCCACCCACTCACTCATTCACCACATACGTACTATAGTTGAAGGATCCTCTTGGCTGGCCTTACCTCATTCACCATTTATGTTTGGTTACTCATTTTTTCATCAGGGTGTGCACCTCACGGGCTTGGTGTCCTACGGAATAGACTGGCTTCTTGTACTTCTCGTTCTCCTTATTTCCTTTTTTGAGATACTTCCCGTACGTTCATTGTTCGGGTATAAAACATTATCTGAAGACCCCAGACAAGTTGAGAAGCCTTACAAGCAAACACCACCACCTCACTCCAACAGCTTACTCAGTCATCAGAAGAGAAAATATTATATCCCCTTTATCAAGTTCTAAAAGAGGCGTAAGTGGTGTTGGTGCGAGTCTGCAGTAGGTGTTTGACTGAGTGTCAGAGAGTGTAGTTACTGCATGCTTGTATATCAGAAAGTACTCCATTAGTTACTTCTAATTATATTTACCTTGGTCATGAGACTGAGACCCTCAAAAACCGTCATCCAATTGGCGTGGTGTTGATGTGGTATTTAGATTGTATGTAAAGTACTGTGAAGGTCATCAAATTGACCAGTAACAAAATTTTAAGCCCAAACAGTAGTACTGTATCTTGAAGGCTTTTCAGTCTGTGTAAGTTTAAAAAACTTGCCAAGGTTTGATTGAATTAATGTATGTACTGTACTGTACTGTACTGTACTTGAGTTATCTAAACTAAAAATAGTAATTATGAGTTGCCTGAAGTTGACACTTTATAATATCTATAATTGAGTCTTAACATATTGTAAACTAATCAATAAGTGTCATTCACTTATATACCATATAGGTATATATTTACTGAACTGTACCTGTTGGTGATACAGCAGTAGCATGCTTACCTTTCACTACTGTATCCCAAGTTCGATCTTCAGTCTGAGTAGATGTGAGAAAGGTCTTATTCAATTTGACTCTACAAACCAACAAAGGTTTACTTCCAGTACTCTGGTTTCCACCTGTACTAACACTGGACAATGAAGGTCATGATAGAGTAAACAAGAACCAACCAACCAACCACCTGAATGGCTTGTAAGCTGATAAGTGGTGAAAATGATAAAATAAATATATTGATACTGTTTATTCCTATGTCCATCTTCAGACTGGTGATGTACTTGCTCCCCACACACACACACACACACACATATACAATTCATTTACTTAGTTCCTCACTATCTTCAAGTGTCAAAAGTCCCAACATGAGTTCTTGGAGAATTTACTGAGCAACTTTAAAGACTGTTGGGCCATAATATACACATTCTCCTTGCACTTGGAGATGAGAAGAAAAAACATAGACTAAGAAATTCTGAAAGATTGAATGAAAAATGTGAGTGTTTGACTAATTATGAAGATGTGTGAATGTTGTCAGTGAATGGAAGAGTTGACATATTCTTAACCACCTCCACATACCTCTTCCCTGAGCACCTGGGACCACATTATCAAATGCCTACACTAAAAATAGCATATTTTAACACATTTGGATGAATTATTATCCTTAAATAAGATACTGTATACACATTAAATTAGTCAAATTCATTTTATAATGCATGTTTTACAAAGAATATTGATTGAGTGCTTATCTGTCTTGTTTTAGAATATGTGATATCCATAATTTTAAATTGGTTTCTCCACAAAACACTTGCAAATAGTCAAGACTATTAAAGAATATTTCCTGTAAGGGTTACTGTACAGTACTGTATACATTTCCCAAAACGGATTAAAAAAAAGTGCATGTGAACTACATTACAAGCATTTGTATTGCTTTATGTAATTAACTGCAATGGTAAAATAACCCCATCAATTGTAGTTAGTTACAAGAGATTGATATATTTACAGTTTGTAGAGGTAATGATGTGATGAACTGCACCATGTTTGGCAGCTTTCAGTTTGAATTTTACACTCATTTAGCTATTGGGGGTACATGTATTATATTACTGTATCTCTCCATTCGTGCAGATGGGCAACCTAAGAAGGATCACAATAGGAATTACCAGCAGGAGTATGTCATTTAGAAGAAGCCAAACTCTTAAAAAAAAATCAATATTTAAGTGAAAATTGTCTAAGGCTTTGAGTTGTGACAGTGAGTTACCAGCTGTTACTGTTTGATGATAATGTCCTGTACAGTATTCAAGAATGAATTTGGGTCTCATTAGCTGTTAAATGACAGTATTTACAATCCTGAAAGGGGCTTTGCTTAATTTTAGTACAAGGTTTATTTTAGTCGTATGTATCTGTACATTATTTTCATTTATGAACTTAGTTTTCTTTTAATTGTTGATTATTGCTGCTGTACAATGTGTAGGGAAGTGTCTTTTTTATTCTCACCTTCCATATTTTAACTTACACTTTATGTAGCATTTATGAAGCTCATAACCTGACCACATTATGGTGTTCATCAGGATTATTTGTGCAGTTTTTATTAATTATCACTGGCACCAAATTTTTGAAGCTCAAAAACAATGGAGGACCTACACAGGCCACCATCTTCATTACCCCGTTAAGGCTATCATCAGTTGTAGTGGTCATTAGGTAATGAAATAAACAATTTTGTCTACATATTTTTCACAATTGTCACCAGTTTATTGCTTTATCTATCAGACTACTGTTTCTAGTGTCTCCTAATACACAGATAGTGCATGCAAGGGTGGATCCAAGAATATCAAAAGGGAGGGGGTTCCAAGAAGTTGTGGATGGGGAAACATGGTGAACACAGTGAGCTCACCCAGCTGAGGTGGGTGGGGGGGGCACTGTAAGCCCCCCCCCTCCCCACCCGATTTTTTATTTATTTTTAATCTGACCAATATCATGGGCCATTTTGAAGCCATGGGAACTTGATATTAGGAGATATTCTGAGGTCAATAGTAATTACTTTTTACTATACAAAAACGCCTGAGTACAATACTGTATTAAAGAAAAATTATTGGAATTTTCTGGTGAAAAGGGGACCCCTTGGATCTGCCTTTGTCATGTACTGTACACATCCAACCATGAACACACACACACACATCTAACTACATACACACATCTAGCTGCACTAAAGCTCATGCTGAAGTTAACATTCATGCAAACAAAGTTTATGGAACAAAATATGATTTTTTACTTTTTTTTTATGCCATGCAAATCTGTCCTTTGCCTTTGTTTCATAATTTCTGAGCACCTTGTGGCTTACGTCACAGACCTCCTCCTCGTAACTGACCAACCACCTGACTGGCTGACAAGAAGTTTGAGGGGATAGAGCATTACATAAGAGCAGTGGTTTTCCTTCCTTGAATTCCAGTTTTTGAGTTCATATGTATATAATATTTGTAAGGCACATTATTGGTCTAAGTATTGTATTTGTAGAGTAATACCTTTGACTTATGATAGATAAATTCCTGTAAATCATGACAATTATGGTTTATATACTGTACATTCAGTAATTTATAAATTTCTATGAACTTGGTGGATTGATTTCAGTGCTAGGATTAGGTTAAGATATAGTTATATATAAATATGATGTAGCAGTATTATATATAATATATTATATAAATCATAAACATACTTCTTCTACAGTACTTGTTTAATATATTTTGAGATGTTAAAGAATAGGAATACCCTGTACTTTTGTAAGATAAAATTGCATGACATTTTTTTCATGGACATTCTGAGGAATTTTTGTTGGTTTAGATACAATGAAAGTTTATTTTTAATGATTTGGTTAATTGGTGTACCCACTGCCTTTTTTATAAGTCATTACAATCTACATTAGTGTATACTATTATTAGTTCACTTGTTTCATGTTGTTTCTTATCAAATATATATTTTTTATCCAACAGGAATCTTTGGCATCAATTGGCCAAGTGGTGAGCCGTGTAGGGTCTGGTGGGACGTCCCCTGGCACAGAAGCAGATGCACCACACAACTCCTTACTGTCAGAACTTGACACTTCTTACCGCATCTTAATTGAGAAGTATGAGGCTCTTTTGGAAGCACGTGAACAACAGCAACACCATCAGCAGCCCACACAAGATTCAGAGCTAAGTCATGAAGGTCTGGTGCATCCAGGGGTGGATGATATGTCAGGTCCAATGAGCTTGGTGATGACAGATGCCATGCATGGCACTACCATCACTATGAAGTGCCAACGTTGTCATACCTGCACTTGTGACCTTAAGCCTTCTGTTGGTCGCCCTAAGAGTAATATGGAAGAATTCTCAGAAGTGGAGACATCATCTTCTGGCTTCTCAGATGGAGAGAGTAGGCTGAGTAATAAGTCGACACAGACTGGAGAAGAGACGCCTTATCGTGAAATATTTGATGACTTGACACCAACACCAACTTTATCTTCCAAGTGCTTAGACCTGAGCTCTCCTGTCAATCCTTGTGATAGACGATTCCAGACAGCTCCTGAGTATAAAAAACTATTCCAGGAGATCTTCACAGTCTTGAAGAAAACTGTGGATGAAAAAGATACTCAAACTCAAACCTCTAAGACATCCAAGACTCCCCAGGCACAAGAAACCACCACAGAAAAAACTTTTGTCAGCAACAAGACCACCCCAGTCAAGACTGAGGAGTGCAATACTCCTGCAAATGCAGTGGAACTTAAGGTTTCCCCAGCAAACACTGAGGAAGACAAGTCTTCATCCCCAGAAAGTTGTAATCCTACTCATGTTCAGGTCTCCATCGAGTCTAAAATTGTAACTATTGAAGAGAGAGAGATTGTTACTATTACTAAAGAATTTATCCAATCTCCGTCATCACGAATGACCGAGATTAAAACTCCTATCACACCCTCAACAGAGGATTCAGATGTACAGGAAAAGAAAGATTACCAGACTACACCAGAGGATCAGCTCATTACACACAAACCTCCCCGACCTGATACCCTTGATCTGGGTAGTGACTCAAGACCATCCAGCAGACAGAAGCGCCGCCGCCGTCACCATCGCATCCGCTTAGACTCTTACCAGCAACAACCGTTTCAGGGACAATATCAGTACACTCATGGAAACCAGAATTTGAATATGTCCCAGCAGCTTGCACAGTCCAGTCACAGACATCATAGAAGGGAACGAGACCCTCATCAGGTCCATCTTCAGAGACAACAACCCGACGACTTCCCTACTCTGCACATACAGCCAGACGGAGAGGTCAGCAATACTCGAATTGTCTATAATTCTAGCCGTGGGCGCTGTGAACACCATAGATCACGCAAGCACCGAGATCGTAGTAATAACAGCCAGCACCACAGGAATCCGCATCCGGACAATGCTGACCAAAGACAACGTTCCCAAAATGAAAATCACAAACAGCAATCTGCAGATTCGGAATCAAGAGTAAAACCAACTACCCCCAAGATCAACTACCCGTCCGTTGAAGTTGCCAAGCTAAGAAAGCTTGAGATGACATATGCAGAAGCTCTGAAACACTCCTTAAGCAGATCTTACTACAATCGTAGGTACTGAAGAGGCTCAGGTATACAAGAGGAAGTAAATAAGAGTTCAGATGAGTGCCAGAGAAAACATTCAATGATTAATCAAATAACTAGAGGCACTAAATATAATATTAGGAAATGGATAGTGTGGCAAGAAGTTTACATTTGTTTTGTTCTATGTCTTCTATTCATTATACTGTATTGTGTTTTGTAAATATAATTGTATATACATAGGTACACTCAAGTCATTGTAAAATATTATTTCTTTGGGTATATATTTATTTCTCTTAGTGTGCCAAGTAGCATTTAGTAGCTTGTAGTTTCCTGTGTTCATGACACACTTTGTTAATATTATATTGTTAAAGATGCCACACTTTGTATATCTGAGACATCTTCATCTAGTTCCAGTTTGCTTATACTGGTTGTGCATTTTGACTTCAGAACCTAACTTGGAATTTGCCATGGTAACTTCATTTAAGTGCAGTATAATAATTGATTCACTATTTTGGCCTCTTCATGTTTGAGTAACCCAATTCATGTGCCAAAGAGCAGGCTAATTTGTAAATGCCCACAAGAAAGTCACATACAATCATTTATATTGTATATACAGTATATCTGGATCCAGATTTCAAGTAAAATACTTCCCTAAAGACATTACTCTTCCTTGCAATTGTAATATTCTGAGGAATTTTTTTTATCACCTCTTATACTTAATGGTTGTCTTATTCATTTCTAGTCTAATCTGATATTTGTAGTAGATATCTGTGTTGAGAGTTTATGGTCACACAATTGACACTTAGCATTTGAAAAAGATTTGTATTTCATGTACATTATGTAATTCATAAGTTTGTCAAGGGCAATATTTCTGCATTCCAATCAATAATCTTTCTTTGACAATTATAATTATTATTTTCTAACAAATTCTTTCTTGAACAGGAACATCATAATTACAGAGTTGGTTTTCATTGTAGAAAAATTAATTGATACAGTAATTATTATGTTGTTTATAGCGGGTTTGTTTATCTTTGGTTGGAGGAAGCGTTGCGTTGGAGCTATGAAGAACAGCTGATGCTATACCCATTGTTAAGGTCCGCAGATAATAGTTGCTTAGCCAGTTTTCATGTTTAATAGCATTTACTGATATTCAATAGTTAAGCATTTGTATATATAAATGCAAATAATATAGTAAGCAAAGTAAGAAAATATAAATGTGATTGTGGAAACTGATTATATGATGCTATGTAGATTGTAAAAGAAGCTAATGGAAATGTTGATAACCAAAATATGTCTACTTGTGAAAATGTTGTAAAATTTGATCTTGTGTTTAAAAGTGTAATCTTGTGATTGGAAAATCATCCCAAAAAATACGTGCTGTGATTATGTGCTCGAAAATCCATGGAGTACTGTTGACCCATATACTGTATCAGGAAAAGCTTCTATATAGTCAAGTCCAGAGGAAATACAGTACAATTGTACCTTCTTCTCGGCCAAGGCTCAACAAAATTCTACATAACATGTTGAGTACTATGAGTGCCCAACCATTTCTTCTTTACATTTGTACAACCACTGTACAGTAGTTGTGTCCTAGCTTGCCTTGGGTTATCAGTGCAGGTAGCTTGTAATGTAAGCTTAAATGCTGGACCAGGAAATATTAAACTATGTGATGGAAATTTTTTTTGATTGACCTTAATACTGTACTGTACAGCATATGTGATGAATGTAAATTATAGTGTCGTACCAATGACATATATATATATATATATATATATATATATATATATATATATATATATATATATATATATATATATATATATATATATATATATATATATATATATATATATATATATATAGTAACTTACGCGGTGCCTTGTCAGAATGAAAATGCTTTAATTACGCAGTAAATTTGATCATTTACGCGGCGAGCGGCTGGAGAGGTCCAGACCACCGCCTCCTTTTTTACCCACGCGGTCCATTCTTGACCATACGCGGGAAGCGGCGCGGTAAGTGGTGCGCATTAGGCCGCTCTTACGTTACTGCTGACGTCATATGACGTATCGGACTGTGATTGGGCGACGCATCCTTACCACCCACGCATTCCCTTTGCCGCTAGCTGTGATTGGTCTAATGTAACATGACGTGCCCTGCCACCAGAGGGTAGAAGTCGCTGACCTAGCAGGGCCTGTCTCATTGTTCTCAGTCTGCGTATACAGTTCTCTCTTGTGCCCGCTATTCCCCTCACAACTCACAATGGCTTCTGTGGGACCCACACTACCAGAGAAAAACATTGAATTACCTGGACCAAGCCGAAATTAAGAATCAAGCGGACTGTGAAGAACTGCAGAAGGACCTCTGTGGGCTCCAGGAATGGTCGAAGAAATGGCTGCTGAGATTCAATGTCACGAAGTGTTAAGAGGATGCACCTGGGGCGTACCAACGGTAAGGAGGCGTATTATATGTCCCAACGGGATGAAGAAACTGCACTAGTTGAGACTGTGTGTGAGAAGAACCTAGGTGTGTATGTTGACAATGAGCTGAAGTTCTCGGGCCATTGCGAGAAGAAGGTAAATCAGGCAAATAAATTATTGGGTCTGATAAGAAGGTCGTTCAGATATCTAGACGGTCCATCCCTCGTAACGATCTTCAGGAGTGAAGTGCTTCCCCATCTGGTCCCCGAGATATGCTAGGGACTGTCAGTTGGTTGAAAATGTTCAAAGGAGGGCCACCAGACTGGTGCCTGCACTTCGGCACTCAGCTACCCTGAGAGATTGGAGCGCCTGAATTTGCCTAGCTTATACTACAGACGGGCAAGGGGGGACCTAGTTGAGGTGTATAAGCATCTCAGGGGGCACTACTCAGTTGAGTGTCCTTACTTGGAGCTGGCGGACGCTCGCCCCCACAAGGAGTCATAGCTCAAGATTGAAGAAGCTGCAAGTCAGAAAACCGTGAGGGCAAACTTTTTCGGAGTGAGGGTTGTAAACTCTTGGAACAATCTACCAGAGAGTGTTGTGACTGCACCGAGTGTGAGCTCTTTCAAGACAAGACTTGACCAACACTGGAGCAGGTTCAAGTACATTCAGGAGCCGGTGCATGCCCAGTATTTGCCAACAGTGCGTGACAGAGACGTGACCGATCGTCCGGGCGGCTAGCGAGCCGATCTTTTGGTGAAGAAGATAAATGAAAAGGAAAAGTAATCAGAGACGTGACCAAGCGGCTAACAAGCCGATCAGTGGCATCAAGTGATTGCAAATTACCTCAATTTCAATACCTCCGATATTTCCTGCCCATAATCACCGCCGTGCAAAGTTTCATAAGAACATAAGAAAGTGGGATACTGCAGGAGGCCGACTGGCCCATACAGGGCAGATCCCTTTCACACCCATCCCAGCACTTCCATGTGCCTATCCAACTTCGTCTTGAAGCTCCCTAGCGTCCCCGATCCTACTATAGCACTCGGTAGCCTATTCCACATATCCACAACTCTATTACCAAACCAGTGCTTGCCTATATCCTTTCTGAATCGGAATTTATCTAATTTCCTCTATAAATCCATAGCATAACACCTTAAAAGATGAAATGTAAAGCTATCGTAATTGAAATTAGAGTCTGCATAAATTAACAGCACAGCGCACATCCTCTATCCCTCACCCTCCCACATTATTCGCAGCGGATCTTAACCAAACCATACAGTATACTCAGACGTCACTTGGCATATTCCATACATAAGTCTGAACCCAGTTGATCAAGTTAAAAATAACTCTTATTGGAATTTACTGGAATGTAGTCTTAAATGGAGTCCTAACCCGCCAGGAACATTAGCAAAGAAGACAATATCACCAACGAGTGCAGCGAGAGAGTTAATGTTTCTCCACAGGCGGTGGATGGAACCTCCAACGATGATGATTTTTCAGCGCGACCTGTACCTTTTCATAAGAGTTCGTTTTATGGGGTTAATGGGTCTTTTTGGAATAAACAAGTATTCGTGGTATTTCTGTAATAGAAATTTACATACATATATACCTAAGATTAAATATTCTACTGGAATCTTAAAGCATAAGAATTGTCACATTTCCTGGGTACGTTCTTAACGTTAGAAGGTTTGATAAGTCGTACACTCACTTCACTGGATGGCTTAGTATAGCGTAAGTCCATATTAGTAGTGAGGGTGGCGTCTGATGTTCTCGCTACACAAAGGTTCAATAAGACCATAACACTTGAAAGTTTAGTGTGTTTTAAGCTCACGACACTCAAAATAACTTGGTGTGTCCTTAGTTCATAACTAAATAGCATGGTGGTTCACGACAAGCGCTTTACTGTGTCACAAGTTCACGACACAAGATACTATGATGTTGGTGAGCTCACAACACTAAAACGTTTATTAAGTCAAAAGCTCACAGTAAAGGTTTTGGTATCTCATGAATTAACACCGGTACAGAAAGAAGCCCATCGGGTTATATAGAGCTACTTCCGATATCCTTATAATACTCCCTACGACAATATTCCTTGGTCGAGAGGCGTATGATTTAGGTGAGGTGTATGATTTAGGCGACATGATTTATGTAACGTGTATGATTTAGGTGACATGATTTATGTAACGTGTATGATTTAGGTGACATGATTTATGTAACGTGTATGATTTAGGTGACGTATGATTCAGGTGAGGTGTATGATTTAGGTGACATGATTTAGGTAACTTGTATGATTTAGGTGACGTATGATTTAGGTGAGGTGTATGATTTAGGCGACGTGTACGATTTAGGTAACTTGTATGGTTTAAGTGACGTGTATGATTCATATCAGTGAGACTTTTTACTGCAGCCAAAAAACGTTTTGTTTCAACCCCTTGAACCATATACAGTGTATAATAAGAACCAGTTTTATTTAAGATCAGTTTCCTTGTACAGCACGGGACCAGTTTAATGGTTGAGAACGCCCAGGGCACTAGATCATCTGGAAAGTATATCTAATTAAATGCTGTAAGGAAAATGAATAGCCTCATTGTATACATATTTCAAGATTTGTTTATCGTGTTTACTGACAACCAAAAACAACTTGGAAAATAAAATTAATAAAATAAATTCAGCAATAATAAATCAATTTGACTCGACAACGTGATAGGCCTAACGTCAGTTCATGACCTCAAGTGTAATTATTTTAACACCTTGGTCGCGGTACGATAACTATCACAGCGGCACTGCTAATAGACGCTCCCTACTCCCTATAGAACGAGTGGCATTGCTGACAGGAGTGGCGGACTGACTGATTGGTGTGTTGTGTGTAGTTGTTAAACCAAACGATAAACCAAAAATGTGTCCTACCTTGAAATCACAAATGGGATAGTTTATGCTGAGGAACCACCTTATTCAACTTTAAGTAGTATTTCGTCCTTTGTGTTGAGGTACGGAAAATGTAAGCTCGTGTGGAAGATAGACATCGGAAGAGTCCCTTAAGTTATTGAAAGGTAAACGACTGTACTTTTTTATGCTAATTGACTTGTTTTTGTTGTTTATATCTAAAGATATCGTTTAAATGTCCTAAGGATGTCATAGTATTTAGGGAAAAAAAGTGACGCTTCTGTGTTTAAATACGGTACCCAATATTTCCCGTGTAGACAGGTCACAGATTTAAGCTTAACAAATAAAATTTCACTCTGTACCCCATACTGTACTAGTGGTTAAAAGAAATTATATGTAAGGTACCCTGGGAGGCTGGGATTAACCGAACTTTAACCAGCATTAATATCCTTATAGTGGCTACTGAACACGTTAACTCATAAAAATGTTTCCCGGCAATATAATGTTCAAGCAACTGATCTGATACCGAATTTAAAAACAATATTCACAGCCACTTTTAAAAGGATTTTCAAATAACCTTTATTTATGTTTAAAAGATAAGATACTTGTGTCAGCAAATACTCGACACTTACCTCCCCCATTCTTGTTGTAGTAACAAGTTTGACGCAACTGATGCCTTTCGCCGCCAGAACAGAATTTGGCTCATTATGTCCTGGTAATCAGGTGTTATGACAGGTAATGTAGCTGGTTTTCCGGCATATTTTTCTTTTAAATTTGTTATAATTACTTTAACAGATTGCCCCGGAGGGGGCTAGTTTATGGGGCACTCCCTTACATCCTGTGCAAGGTGAAGCGCAGAAGCGATAATTACTCTAATCTTTTCGCCCCTTAGGCCCCGTTGTGGGTCAAAGGTCACCAGAATCTTAAGTGCTGTTGAGTTTTTTTATAAGGTAAATATTCAAAGTTAAGTTATTGGTAATGAGCCAGGAAAATAGGTTAGCCCTTTAGCCAGAATAAAATACCTAAGGGACACTTTGCCCTCAAAAGGTTAAGGGAAATTTTCAGGGCGTATCCGAGAACCTAATCTTTTTATCGAGGTAATAGAAAACGTGTGTATATTTGTCAAGTCTTAATAATACGTTTCCTGATTTATTAACTTCGAAGGTAATTTAGTTATCGCATTATCACAATATTTGATACAGGAGGTCAAGCCGTGTATCCATACGTCGCTGCGCTCATCCGGTACAGTATTTTCGCCAGGACGTACTATTGCGTGTTGTTTCATATTATCCTGAATGTGACTTGACAATACTCGAGGTTTTATCCCGAGTCGATCCACCGTATTGTTGTCTTTCTCTGGATTCTATTATCTATAAACAATAAATGAATTCATGTATCTTAGACATCATTAAAAGACAAATATAATAATTTTATGGCCAGTGAATCATCTAACGTGCGCTGAATCAGTGTTGGACAAACGTGTTGACTTGAAAGTTGCAACATCATTACTTACTATCGGAGAATAAGCTCTGGTGTAGTGAAGATTATTCTCTAGTTGTAAAATTGTAATCAGACGCGGCAATGACGTAAATTTATAATAAAAAAATCTTTCAGGTTCGTTAAAAGAGTGTACACAACTTCAAAAAGTGAGTTAGTTATAACATATGATGGGGGGAGCAACGAACAAAAGCAGACTCTGGGCAGCGTATGCTCTACCCCATTAATTAATTTTCCTGGAAGAGTGAAGGATCTCTGTGTTAGGACTTGATTCACACGCAGTCGTGTATCAGCTGCTGGTACACGACGTAGGAATATATATAGCGGAGGTGTGAGCGTGAAGGAGAGGTGTAGGCGTCCAAGGGGATATCTGTGGTAGTTGACAGGAGATGTGGGCGTGGACAAGACAGTGGGCGATCAAGAGGATATGGGCGTGTAAGGGTAGGTGTGTATATATGACGTGAGATGATAATGAATACATGCAGGGGAACGAACAGGAAGGATTATATCAGTTTAGTGTCTGATGAGGGTGTACGAATAAGATGTAACAGGGGTGAGAAGAAAGGGTAAGGCAGGTGGCATGTGTGTGAGTACAGTTGCCGTAATAGATGATGATATACAGCCATTAAGAGTGGATTCTATTGTTAGTCTAGGTCAGGGTAGGTCGAGTTATGTTTATTAATAGGATAAGCTGAAGCTGTGTGCAATTGAAGTCAAGTGTGGTTTAGGTCGCAGACCCTCAACGTCGTCGCCACCACTTGTTATAATTCTGGCCACCAGTGAATTCTGCTAGTGAGGGTCGCGACCTTCTTCCTGTCTTGACAGAGCACAGCTGGTTTCCATCACCACCACCCTATCCGTTTGCTTTCTGATTATGTAAGATCAGTGTGTAAGATATGAAAATAGCCTAGCCAAATCCAACCTAACCAAACCTTGCTTAAACTACCCTCATTTTACCTTACTTAACTAAATCTAACCTAATTAAACTTTACATATCCAAACCTTATCTAATCTCACCTTAATTATGTTAACCTCACAGATTATTACGTCAGATATAATAGACCAAAGAGTAATCTACAAGATAATACGATAGACGATGATCATACTCGGATGCGATAAATTCACTACAGAAACTAGGAAAGAGAAAGCATCAATTGTAAAAATCTAGCAATAAAGGAGAGACATGATAAATATATAACATGAAAAAAGCATTGTCCATAAAAATCACAAAGAAAGAGATGCTAATAGGTAGAAATAAACAAGTAATGTCCATGAATAAACGCGGCATGCGGGCGAGAACTTAACTCTGAAAAGTTGCTATAGAGCCACGTAACTCTCATAACAGGATGCGAGTAAACGGGACGCTGTTAACATGACAGGCTGGAGAGGAGGGAGTAGTGGAGGAAATAGAGAGAAAGGGAGCTGAGGAGGTGCAGAGGATAAACTAAAGAATAGAAAATAGGAAGTCATACATATGTGTAAAATATACATACTCGGTTTAAATTCCTGTGTATGTAGAAAATAAATTGTTAGATTTATATTTAGTAATTTCATATTTCTAGTGATTTTTGGCGTATTTTTCATGCAATAAAAATGAGGAATGGCAGATGAATCGGTCAGAATATGGCGGTCTAGACTAGTCAAGTGAAAGGAAGTGTTTAAATTTAGAAGTGGGTGAAGTTGTCTCGTTTGTCAGGGACGAGTCGAGGATGTTGTCACTGTGTGGCGCTGTATCTCATACAGTATCAAGTCTGTAGTAATATTTAAACGGTAACCTTGATGACTCGTGGTTGGCTGTGGCGCATAATGTTATAGACTTTAGACTCTGTATAAAGATTTGTTGACTTGTGTCGACTCAGTATTAGGACAACCCATTATTTTTGTTAGCTAAATTAAGTACCCCAATTTCTACCTTTCCTGACCCAATTGATTGCTGCTTTGGATATTTAACATACAAGGAATACCCTAGCAGGAGTTTGGCATTGTGAGGATGAATGAGAACTCCAGCTTATATTACGCCTCCTTGCAAATAAATAATGAGTGACAGTAAGTCAGTCACAAGGTCGCCGCCTGAATAAGGGACCGAGGCAGCTAGATAGAAGGGTAACCCGAGGCTGTCTTCACATTGGTGCCCTCACAAGTATACTGTTGTTGTTTTTTTATTGTATAAGGACGACCGGGAAGAGAGCTGGGCGGCACAATTGAGCCATGTTCAAGTGTATACAGAGCTTATTTCTGTGTATATAGTTGATTACGCATTTGTTTATAAGCTAAATGCCTCTAACACTTTATGATGTCCCACCTGGTCTTCATACAATACTGCCGCAGTCTTGGTATTAATGAACCTCTACTTACCTGTAAAGTAAGTCCTAATAAAAGCACGCACTTATCTGTACCTGTACTGTTTTTTTTTTTTGTATTGAAAGAATACTGATCAATGGCTAATTTTCTGTTACGATCTCAAGCTATTCGCAGATACTAATAGACGATGTGTTTACAGAGAGAGGAGGAAGTTAGAAGAGGATCAGGAAGACACAGGTAAGAGGACTTTGATAGTACAAAGATGGAGGACAATGACACGAAAAGCAACGAGAGTAAGATGATGGTCGGAGAGGACCCGGGTAGTGGTGGTGATGAAGGCTTGGATCCTTCCCTCACCTTCTTCGAGCGGGTAATGGTGGCTGTGGGAACGGAAGGACGCTACCAGAAGCTCCTGCTGTATGCCTTCATGCTGCCCCTCTCTTTCTACTCCCCATTCGGCGCCTCTTCCCTCCTGCTGATGATGTCCACCCCCGACCATTCTTGTCATGTGCCGGGCCGAGCAAAGCACAATGTAAGCGTGGAGGAGTGGCAGAACATGACGCTACCTTGGTGAGTATAACAGGATGAGTTTTAGTTATTGCCACAATACCTTTCAGTATAGAATGTAGCTAAAATATTTTAAGTCATGGCTTTAAGGTGTAATTGTATAATTTGTAAAGTTTATATTGTAAGTGTGACCATTTACAAAACCTTTGAGAAATTAGTGTGTCGCAGGGAGGCGGGGGCGGACGGGACACGACAGCTGAGCAAGTGTTCCATGTACAACATCAGCTACGGTGTCGGAAGAGGCGGCCATAACACCTTCGTCATCGACAATACCACCACTACCTGTTAGTCCCGCGCCTCTACCCTCCCTCCCTCAGGAGTTATATGTAACAGTAATTCCCAAATTACTTAATGCAAAAGTAAATTTTTTTGTCTTCAAATCTGTAACCATAGATCATACGCTATTTAACGCTTTTAAGTCCATTTTGCAGTTAGGAGTCCTATTGACTTCCTCAGCTTACCAACCATATCCTAATACTATCCTCGACAGACTGTCAGTACGGATGGGACTACGACCGCAGAAACTGGCAAGAGACTTCGGTCACTCACTTCGACTGGGTGTGTGACCAGGCCTCTACAGTCACCACCATCTTCTCCCTGGCTGTGGCGGGCAACGCTGTGGGCACGTTACTGCTCTCCATCCTCGCTGACAGGTTGGTGAATGTCCTTAACCCCTTCACCACTGCATGCTACTTTTAATATTCTATTTAGCTAACGTCAGGCGATACTCAGCGCAGAGAGAACCCCGTACACAAGGGGTTAATCAGAGATACTCCTCGAGCTACCTCCGGGGTTATCTGAACCACATCTGTGGGGTTATTTGGGGTGGTTGTTGTGTAAAGAGACTCCCAGTATTCTCGGCTGTTATTGGTTCATCTTGGCGGAGGTAAAAGATGTAATATATGAAAGAAAATGAGAGCAAGAGGTGAGAGTGTGTGTGTGTCTTATGTGTGTGCATGTGTGTGGATGTTAAAATGTAAGGATCGTACAAAGTAGTAAACGACTAACACTGTCACCACCACTACCATTCTTCTGCTCCTCCTACAGGGTGGGTCGCCGGCCGGTATTCTTCCTGGCGGCGTCCATCAACTTTTTCTTCGGCGTCGTCAACATGTACATGCCCAACTGGCAGTTCTTCGCCATCGCCCGCTTCTTGAACTGCTTCGCTTTCTTCAGTATCTACCAGATGCCCTACATCATCGGTCAGTACCTTCTGCTAGAGACGTTGTGATCTCTAGGTGGCATCTTCATAAGCCCAGCCTTATTAAACAATTCTTTGTGGTCTTTCATTGATGGTTTTAGTGTACCGAAGAAATGTTTTGTTTTATTTATTAACAAAATTACGGAAAGTTGTCTCATACTATGAAGCTTTGTAAATTTATCTGTAAATAACGTAAGTGTTTTGGGTGGCAGTGGTGGAACTAAGCTCAGAGAAACTACGAGGGCTGACGGCGGCGTTGTCGTTCGTGGTGGGGACACTAGGCATGTGTTGTGTCTCCCTGTGCGCCTGGCTCCTCGCTAACTGGAGGTCCTTCGGCTTACTCTGTCACATTCCGTCCATCCTCTTCCTCCTCTACTGGAAGTAAGTCTTGAGCAACATTCTCACAAGTAGTCTCTGCTGGTAAAAGAAGCATTCTCATGAGTGATATTTTTATTTTACTCTGTAGGTCAAGACAACATTAAATTTACAGTCACAACTTATATATCATAATAAGAAACGAGTACCCAGATCATAGAGTTTGTCAGAGTACTGATCATGTTTAGCAGGTGACTTGACATGACGACAGAGGCCCATGGAGGTCCCCCCCCCCCTCTAGAAAAGTAATCACCTTTTGAAAATTATCTCAGTCGAGATGAAGAGGCGAGGATGAAGTCCATGTCACAAATAATTTTTTTTCTAATTAAAGTCATCCGACGAGGAGGGTCAATTACTTTGTGGCTCTTCATGCTTTTGTTTTATCACAAGGTAGTTTGTTTTGCCTACTAGCACTGAAGACCATTCCAATAATAATTGAGTATGTAGCAGTTAAGTTCTCCCCCCCCCCTTCAAACTTTTAATATCATAGGATTCCAGAACATCCTGTAAACATCTTGAAACACCACATAACACTCCTTAAATATTATCAACTCTACAGCTTACTAGACCTTCTGTACAATCCACTAAGACGGGGAACTTTTATACTCCTATTAGGTTCCTGCCGGAATCGCCACGGTGGCTTCTTTCTGTGAACCGGGTGAAGGAGTGTGAGGCCATCATGACCCAGGTGGCAATTACTAACGGCAGGAGGGTACCACCGGATCTCCGACGCCTGCTGGAGGAAGCCAGGGCCGCTGAGAAAAAGTCAGCCTCAGTCAGAGATCTCCTCAAACACAAGACACTCCGGAAGCACCTCCTCATCGCTACTCTCAACACGTGAGTGGAGGCTTCAATCCCCTTTGACATTACACCCCCCTACACCATACTAGTGTTACCCCCCACACCTCACTGTTGTTACCCCTCAATAAGGTAATTTATCAAAGGTAAAGAAAACTATGTATATAATGTATGATTAATTAATGATAGCTAGATGTTCTGATTGATATAGTGGAATCGATAAACAGTTAGAATGCAAGGAGGCCATTCACTGTCCTAACTCTCACTTGCCCGTGTGTCGTCCCTCAGGGTGATATTCTGCGTGGTGTACTCCGGCATCGTGCTCAACATCCACAACATGACTGGCAATGAGTTCGTCAACTTCTTCGTCCTGTCACTTGTGGAGATCCCCGGCAACATCCTGGGCATGGTCTCCGCGCAGTACCTGGGCCGGAGACTCACCACCATCTACACACTCTCCCTCAGTGCTATCTTTAGTGGTCTGGCGTCAACTGCAATCACAGGTAAACTAGTACAGTACACAAGGATGTCTTCAGTACTTGTGAGTCCCAGAGAAGGCCGTTATCACCAGTGCTGATAAATGATATTAATAGAAATAATAATAGTAACAATACAGAAATAAATAATAGCCCGTGATCTTGGAAACATTTTGACAGAATCTCCTTGTTTTAAGTATGAATTGATTGTGAAGACACTTAACTTCTAAATGCTCTCCTGCAGACCAGTGGTTGTTGGTGACATTCTGCGGGCTGGTGAAGCTCTTTGTGACGGAGGCGGTGCTGGTGGTGTATGTGCAGATAGGTGAGCTCTTCCCGACGCCTCTTCGCTCCATATCCTACGGTGTCACAGCTGTCACGGGCCTCTCTGCTACTGTCCTCGTCCCGACCCTCATGGCCTTGGTATGTTACCTTAATGGATGCTGGGGTCATGTTGGGTCTCTTAGATGCTGGGGTCATGTTAGGTCTCTTAGATGCTGTCATGTTGGGTCTCTTAGATGCTGGAGTCATGTTAGGTCTCTTAGATGCTGGGGTCATGTTAGGTTTCTTAGATGCTGGGGTCATGTCAGGTCTCAAATGCTGGGGTCAGGATAAGGCACTCGGGTACTGAGGTCATATAAGGTCACATAGTACTTGGAGTCGTATCAGATTAACATAATGGTGAAAGTTGTACCAGTCACTCAGCTGCTGAAATAATGTTCGGTCACACAAAAGTTAACTCTGAGTCTATCAAACTTATAAATATCTCATGGAAATATCACTCCGGTGCTATTTAGATTCTATTGTATTTGATGTTTAATGTAAAAAATAATCTGGTTGTCATTTATTTTGTCTCTTGAAAACTTATTTATATAACGCTGAGGAAGTTTTTTCGTTTTCATTATTACTCACCAACATACTGTGTGTCTTCCTCATGCTCACCAACATACTGTGTGTCTTCCTCATATTCACCAACATACTGTGTGTCTTCCTCAGGGCAACACAGACAGGAAGCTCCCCTACTACATTCTTTGCAGTCTGTGTCTGTGTGGGGCGATGGTAAGTACCTTCCTGCCAGAGACCCTTGGCCTTCCTCTCCCTCAGACCGTCCAACAAGCCAGCAAAGTGGGGCGTGACCAACCCTACTGCGCCATCGTCACACACTGGACCAAACACAACCGCACACCCTCGACGTACAGCCATACCGAGGCAGAAAAGGGCAAGGCTACCGTCAATGGTATCACGTCTGCGTTTTAGTGTAGATGACTGGACTTTGAAGGGACAGTTACTGATAATGATGCTTTACTGAATTCATTATAAGTTTATAATGATTTAGAGTAAGAAAACCAAAGTGTATTTTGTTAGGTACTTCGAGCATTATTGAATCGATGGGAATTTCATGTGTACAGAAGCGTAAACCAAAGATAATTTACGCCCGTAGTGCTACAAGGAGACGTCCCACCCTCTCAGAAGGAAAGTTTTACACCAGGTTGTATACAATTAAAAAAAAATCACACCTGACGAAGAGTTGATGTTATAATTTTATTACTGGGCTTTAACAACTAAGGTCTTAAACGAGAGTAAAGAGTTGTTTGTGTTAGCCCTACTCTGTGGTGGTTGACCCTCATAATATGAAGTAAACAGGTGATTTATTACACAATAAAGATGTGACAACGAATTAAGGTGTAAATGCTACATGTTTATCGGATAATTTTAAGATGATTTTATTGAATAACAAGATTAAATGCCTTACTGTGTGCTGTGGTATTGAACTCTTGTCCTCTTGATAAACTTTCCTAGTGAATAACTGGAAGATGATAAGTTTAATTCAAGTATAATAAAGCCGTTTTTAACTTATTTTTTCTTAGAATAAATTAAGTCCTCTAAATTCACATTTCCTCTAATGAAAATTTTGGAGGAGGTGAAGGTGAGTGTCTTGGTCCACTGATAAGGAAAGCCTAATGTACTACTGTAGGAGAGAAGAAAAAGTGTGCAGATCAAATCATTGCGAGAGATTTCTAGGTGGTAATTGGTCAACTAAGTACACACTCATTGCTAATTGTCTTTCTGTGTTGAACAATGAGTACAAGATGAGTTGATATTCGTTGTCGGATTCATTACTACAATGCGAAGCAAATTTTTTGTAATAGTCTGTTGTTGATAGCGACCAACTTAAGCTCGGTTCACACCAAGGTCTATAAACGATTCACGCTAGCTTGTTTTGACGGCCGTCTCTGACGTAGTATAACCATCGATGACGTCACGAAAACGGCGTTCCCTTCAGACGGGAGAGTTAAAATGTAAACAAACATAGAAGGTGACAACCTTCGGGGAGGCTTTACCCCTGGGACAGGCGGACGTTTGGGGCATTGCCGTGAGTCAGCATTGTGCCAGCCACCACAATTACAACACCTGGGGTCAACAACAAAGCCCACACCATCCCCATTAAGGTGGTGATTGATTTTCTTGGCACAGACGGAGGAGTGATGGTTATGTGAACAGAATCGAGATCTAAATCGATCACGTTGGCAGCAGGTTGTGTATAAATTCGCCCTCCAGGCCCTGATGTGGGTCAGTAACCTGAAGAGTGGTAGTTTGCGTTTCAAAGTAGGTGTTACGTGTTGCTGTCAACAGTGCCCCAGATTAAAAAAAAAAAAAGATGCTGTCCTGCTCAGTTGTCTCTGAGACGTTGCAGGTGCCGGAGTGTCGTTTATACAGGATTGTTGCTGGGCGACTGTAGTGAGGAGCGATTATAACTGATCCATTTGTGTATACTGATCTTGAAAATTTGTGTGTGAAGTGCCATAAGGAAGGAATACGACTACCATCTTGAGATTACATTGGAGCTGGTAAGTTTTTCTTTATATTTTAGGGGGGAAGGTCACAATTCACTTCAGTATCTTTACGTAGTGCATATACGAGTTGCTATAGAGATGAAGAGGTGAGATACTGAACATACTCTAGTATTGTTTCCTAAGCGAAGCATATAATGTAGATGACAATGAGTTATTGTTGTTTTTATTAGCGCCAGTGTGACGTGGATAAGCTGATCTGAATGTTTTATCAAAATCGTATCTGGCAACTTATTTGTCGCCTGAACTTTCACGACGTAACGACAATTAACGAAGCGCGAATATAATAACTTGCCTAAACCTAATCCATTATTTGACCCAACATTATAAATGAACATCACTTGACACCTGTCAACTCGCATGGAATACCTCAATCTATCGAATACCGTCTTCATATCTGAGGGCTATGAGACGTAACTGCGGGAACTACCTGTTAGAAAATTAGGAATACTAACACGTTTATTCATATTTTTTAAAGATAAAGCGAATAGTCAACCATAATAATGGTAAAATAACGTCGTGGCAACATTAAATGCAAAAGACTACTACCTTAAGTTACTAGTAAAGTTTACCCTTAAACTTTTAATATACGGTATGCTTCACAGAAAACTAGTTAATTTTGAGGTAAACTATAATATTTTTATTTGTCCCCATAGATAGTTTTGGAAAATAGTAATACATATCCGCGTACTTTTATTGTTTGCTATTGGCGGGTATTATGCCATCAAATGTACGTGAATAATGCCAGTGTTGGTCTCATCTTTAAAAAAAAGTTAACATGTAGAGGAGAGGGAGTGATAAACGAAGCATTTTGGATCTTGTTTTGGCTAGTTTTTACCGAGGAAGAAGACCCAGAAGGACATGACAGAAGTGATCATAGTTTTTTAATTTAGCAGTAGGGAATCATGAAGCATGGCGAAGACTTACAAAATATTGACCTGAATTTAGATATGCTGTAGGTGATAGATGTACGGAGGAAACTTAAAATGTCTTTGAGAAAATATCGTGTAGGATTAAGCACCCGTATTTCAATTGGTTACAAGACTGCCAAATGCTCTTTAGTATTACAAAATCTAAGTGCACGTAAAATACAACAACCCTTATCACAACTTATTATATACTGTTAACAAGGCATCACAATAAGTGGGGGTAGCAGAGATAAAAGCCAACCAAGACTTAGGAATTATAAATCATATCTTCAAATACAAAGATAAGAAAATGTTCCTTCATCTTTATAAGCATATTGTGCGTGTCCGTACTGGGGGAGCTCCAAGACCGCTACACTGGGAAAGCAAGAAGGGAGAACAAATGAAGCAACCCGGGTCTCGCGAGCTGGAGGCGGAATAGGATAGTGGCGGTTAACAACAATATCGTAACCTCAACATAACCAAAACCTTACATAACTATTTCAAGCCAACACAACCCACCAAATAAATTAAGCTCCAGTAACCAAATCTCCCCTAAGATTGTTATATTGTTGGTAAAATTATAGTTTCGGTCATACCAGTATTTAAATATCCATTAGGGTGTGTCAATTTTGTCAACATGTTAAAAATCAAATTTGGTAGTCAAAATATTGTGCCTCTTTATGTCTAAACTTGAGATTAGCAAACAAAAATGAATTGAAATAACCCTCACCTACATCAATTATACCTTAAAGTTTCAAATATCAGTATTTCAACAAATTAATGAGACTTGATTAGAATTATTCACTTGATATTAACTAATCTCATGTAAGCATATGGATTATGGAGTATTTTATGGTTCTATAGCTTGTGTACAATATGCATGTCAGAACATGAACATGAACAGGCTCTCCGTGTGGGACAGTTTAATTCTTGTTTTGACTTGTACCAAGCGTGAGGATAAGGCGCCCGGCTCACTCTCCTTCTAGATATCATAGACGGTGGTTTGCTCTCATTGCACTTGCACCTACTCTACCAGACGAATTCTACATTTTAATTATTGTAAGTAGGGCATATTGATTGTCGCAGTTACTTATATCATTGTATAAAACATTATGTTCTAAGAAATTATTATGTTATTTCTGTTACAGCATTTTTGATAAACAAATTGATATTTTTTGAAACAACAATTGAATTATGAAACATTGAAATATTTTTCTATTTGTCAGATAGTGTGAAGATGTCAAAATTGAAGACAAGAAGTCAGTTGTCAACCCACTTGAGCCTGCTAGTTGGTAAAGGGAAGGAGCTTCCTGTATCAGAACTTCCAACAGTGAGAGACATGCTAAGATTAGGGTTACTCCTTCGAGAAAAAAATGCAAAGGACAGAAGGAACTATACAGATAAAGAACTCATAAATGACATGATAGTCCCTCTTCTGCATCAATGGACAAAAGCTAATGCACTATTCAAACCACCTGTGATTAATCAGTGTCGAACTATTGAGCTAAAACTAACGAAATTATGGCACAAAGCATTTGAAACATCACTTGGTAAAGGAAACTTGGCCAGGAAAAATGAATTTCTGCACACACTTGATACTCTGTTTGACATTTTGACCTGCAAGTGCTCCATACAATTATGTTCTGAATCCAACTGTTCTCACTCAGGTAAGAGAGAAAATAATTCCCACATTGATTGTGGTTGTCCTCGTGAAAAGAAGATCCCTGTTTTAGAGCTTGAATTTATAAAGGCACAGAGGACAAAGGCAGAAGGCCAAGGAAGTATGCAAATGGGTTCAATAGATTATTCAGAAACAAAGAAGCAGATTGCTAATGCCAAGAAGAGAGAACAAATCCGAGAGAGGGAACAAAAGAAGAAAATGAAGAGTGAAGAAGCCATCCAAAGAGAGGAAGAGCTGTGTCAAGATGTTTATCACTTCTTTGATAGTTCTTCTGATGAACAGGAAGCAACATCAGATGATAGTTCCAAAGAGCCATCTGAACCTTTACCAAAGAAAATGAAATACAACACAAGAAATATTTCAAACATTGCTTTAGCTAGTATTCGCCACCATGCTGGACTTCGTGAGGCTGCAGAAATTGCAACTGCCGCTTGGATAGATGCAGGCCTCATCAGCCGAGAGGATGTATCTTTGGTGATAGATCATAATAAAATTAGAAGAGCACAAGAAAAAATAATGAAGGAAATATCTGATCAGCATGAAAAAGATTTAAGCGAGGGAGGGCTCTCCTGTCTTTTGTTTGATGGAAGAATAGATGACACAAAAGTTTTGCTAGAAGTAGAGGGAGTGAACAGAAAGTTTCCAGGTCTCATCAAAGAAGAACACTACTCTGTCTGTTCTGAGCCTGGTGGTCGGTTTTTGTTTCACTTTGCTCCCGAAACTGAAGTAGAAGGGAAGAAACATGCAGAGGTCATTGCTGATCATATTTTATGTTGGGTTCAGGAGAGAGGACTTGGCAGTTCACTGCAGGCTGTTGGTGGAGATTCAACTGCAGTGAACACCGGATGGCAGGGGGGTGTAATGACGCATTTAGAGAAAAAACTAGGAAGAAGACTTGTTTGGATTGTATGTGATTTACATACAGGCGAGCTACCTCTTCGTCATCTCATCCAGGAACTTGATGGTCCTACAAAGAGCAACAACAAGTGGTCAGGTCCCCTTGGCATCATGCTGGATGAAGCAACACAACTAGAAATAAATACAACCTTTCCAAAGGTCGAAGTTGGCCCTCCCCTTCCGGCGTTGTCTGAAGGAGTCATCAAAGATCTCAGCACAGATCAATCCTATGCTTATCGTATTGCCCAAGCAATAAGATCAGGAGAAGTGCCTCAGTCATTGGCTCTCTTGGAGATTGGACCTGTCAGTCACAGCCGTTGGTTAACTACAGCTCTTCGTTTCTGCAGGATTTGGATTTCCAAACACGAATTGAAGGGCAAAGTGCTGAAGAATTTGAGGTTAATTGTTGAATTTATTATTGGAGTTTATCTTCCCCAGTGGTTTAGTGTGAAACTTAATCCTATGTGGGTGGATGGGCCCAATCACCTTTTGTTTCAATTGCAGCTAGTAAGAACACAG